CGGCAGTAGAATCGATTTGGTGATGGCATATTTCCTGTATGCTCATGATTGTATGCTATTAAGAGAAAATCGCGGATTTCTAAGTCGACTTTCAGGAATTTACCATTTTCCCGTTAAATCCGAATTTCAGCAGAGCCACCTCTCGCGGGTTTTTTCGTTCCAACTGGCCAACCACATGTTCACTCGGCTCCCTGGCTGTTCCGTTTGAAATTTAAAAGTCATAGCTTTCAAAAAGAGGTTCAATCTTAAAATTTGTTAACCGAATTGCCGAGAACCAGTAATGTAAACATGAATCAACACGCTTTTTGCTTGGGACTTTTCCGGGTTTTTCCATTACGGCTGGCCAACCATAGGTTCAATCGGATTTCTGCCTAATATAAATGAAAGTAGATACCAAGTAAAGTAGAAGCCATACCTTTCGAATGAAGGCCGAATCATAATGATTGATCATTGAATTGCCGATAACCAGCAATGACAACATGCATCGACACGCATTTTGCAGACTTGGGGTTTAAAATAATCAACGTCAATTATCAGACTTAAAGTGGTCATTTTATACGATAGATGAGGAGATGAAAGTATAAGAGTTGATAGTTCCGTTAGAGTACGACAGTGTAAAAATTGTATATAGAGAGTAGAAAGCGAGCAAATGTCAATTTTGAGGAACGCACGAATCGGATTGTTCATCTCCTTGGAACCTCCCTTAGCTCAGTCGGTAAAGGCGCAGCTACAAAGCAAGACCATGCTGGAGGTGACTGCGTTCGATTCCCGGTCCTGTCTAGGAATTTTTCGGATTGGAAAATTTCTCGGTTTCCCTGGGCATAAAAGTTATGGTTGGACTTGCCACACAATTATACCAATGCAAAAATGGTACAGGCATCGAAAGCTCTCAATTGATAACTGTGGAAGTGCATCTAGTGGAACACTAAGTTGAGAGCACGCAATAAGGTAATATGCGATATGCAATAAGCTTGAAATGCGAAGAAGAAGAAGAAGAAGAAGAAGAAGAAGACGAAGAAGAAGAAGAAGAAGAAGAAGAAGAAGAAGAAGAAGAAGAAGAAGATATCCTCTAACAAACTCCCCTGTTGGGGAGGGATGGTGAGGGGTATTACTCCCCGCCAGCACTGGCACTGGTCTTCCCTAAATTTCCATAATTTTTCTCAAGGATCATTTCTGAAGTCTCCGTTCTTTTTAAAATTTTAGGAAGTTCCTGAAGATTCAAATATTTCTTTTTTTTTTGTTGATTTTAATGGAACCACCCTGTGATTTTCTGTGCTTCCCTGAAGTACTCGGAGCTTCTCTTAAATTCTTCCAAACTATCCTGATGCTCTTGGTACTATCCTAAGAATTCCTTAACTTCCTTAATAATCCCAGAAATTCTGTGAGGTTCTCAAAATATTTCTAAACTTTTCTAAATATCGCTGAAGCTCTTTAGATTTCTTAAAAAATTGAGAATCTCCCAAAAATTTTCGCAGTTTTTAAGAAATTATTGGAACTAAAATAATCTTTCCTGAGGTTCCCCCAAATTTAGAATCAGCTCTGAAGCTTACGGCAAGTCATTTAAAATGCTCGCGCATTTTTCCAATTTTTTCCTGAAGTTCTCGGAGTTTTGTTGAAGATCTCTGGACTTCTAAAAAGTTGTCAAAGTTTCCGATAAATTTCATGACTTCCCTAAAGTAATATGCACTTTTTTTGAAATAGTTTGAACTTAACCCACTATTTTTCAGAAATTAAAACGAAATAGAGCAGTTCCTCGCCAACTGATGAATCGATAATAGTTTTTCCACTCCGAATTCCATGAAACTTTGCAATGAACCAAGCATGTGCCGGAATTCAGCCATTTTGATTCACCTCTATTTTTTTGAAAAATGGCATACGGGTCATTCCAGCTCAAGTGGGTACAGAATTTAAAAAAGTTGTGGTCGATGTCACCGATTTCAGCCAAACTTGGCCAAAACGCTTATTTTGGCATTCTGACCAAACGCCTCTTTTGATTTTGCTCGACAGTGCCTAGATCCTTCTGGGCTACAAACCTGGATTTTCGAGATTTAAAAAAAATTCAACTTTTAGAAGAGATTACTCCACAACCAAATAAGCTATTCGTGATCTGACAACATCAATTTGAAGGTTTTTTTTTAATACGAATTCTTATAAGCGTACCCACATTTTGTTTTTGTTTTAGTAACTACAGGAAACGGTTGGAGGCGAACCAGCCTAAGGCTGAAAGCCTCCTAAATAAAGTTAAATAATAATACAGGAAACAGGCTGATTACCGGCAGGTATCCAAATTGTCAAAAAATGGCCTATTTTCACTATGGGCGGGATTTATTATTTCTTAATATTTTGGTCTCAAATTTTACCATACTTTGAAAAAGTCTTCTACTAGATGTGTTTTCAAGGGAAAATGATTTCGATAAATAGTTTTTGAGATATGACCAGATAAGTGAGTGGTAGTTTTGAGCTTTTCTGGTAGAAAATCAAAGCTATTTTTTTTATTGAATTCCTTCACGCCGATAGCACAATAATATTTTTATGTTATGTTCACAGGTTCAACGTTTATTTTTCTTTATAACTATAATAAAAAAAAAAGCATTCTTGCTCGTGAGACTGTATCCCATAGGAACGAATTTTTCCCTTTTAGGACCACAATATAATTTAATTCTAAAGTAATTCAATGAGCTAGTGCGTTTGCGGATCGGGAGGTGCAAGAGGAAGTGGAAGCCGTCAAAACTGTACGGTGATCAACCCGTCCACCAGATTCCAGCTCGATGTCCCTGCTGTTGATTCCTTGCAGATGTACAAAAACAAAGGCGTAACCCGATCGATGATGAATGAAATTACCACCTGTTAAATTACTCCCGACTAAAGTAACTCAGAATTTGAACGGGCGAGAATTCCATTCCACCCTAGGAGCAACATGCTCGGGTCAGTTTTTAATCAAATCAAATCTTCAGTAATGAGCAAGGCCTTACAGTTGACCGATCGGTAGACCACCCATCGTTCTGGGGTCCCTTGATACGAGCTGATGATGCAGAGATGCATCAGTAAAATTACCGGATCTGGTGAAGGGGATATGCTTGACATCGGACTCGTGGAATATGATGTAATTGCATTTTTAACTGCAATGATCCGTTCCTATAAATCCTATACTATTGCACTAAGGCAATCGTACTCCGATCCAGATCTGATGGAATATGTGGGGTTAATGCCTATTGACTTCCCCCAGCACTACTGTGGATATCCCATCGTAGCCAATATCAATTGGAACCAATGGCTGCGAACGTGCATAAACTGACGTTCATTGTCTCCAGGTTTGTTTTTGATTTTCATGATCACGGGATCCAACCAGTTTGCACCATAGTTAGCTTTTGAGGTAACTAGTTTCAGCCGTCTTGACTGCCGTATCGACAAGACTCGCTCGACCGACCATGGTGTGAATGAACTAGATTGAAGTCAATTCCAAATAGAAGCTGTTCTGGCTGAAATCACTGGAAATTTTACTGTGAATCGGATGAGACGGACTAAGTTTTGCTACATTTAGAGAGATTCACGGTTCAGAGAATACTTACAAAAAATTCTTAAATTCTTGATTGAATCGTTGGTTTACCAGTTTTATATATGACAACAAATTCAATTTTGAGTAAACAAAGTATTCAACCGAGTAGTCAACCTTAGCAACGATGTGCAAAACGTCAACACTCAACAGTGATGCCACTTTATATTATATCATGTATGTGTGTCCTACTCAAGGTCCTACTAGTCAAAGTGTTTCCTATCGTGCCGAACTGTATACCATCATAGAGATAACTCTAAGACTAGAAGGTCCCGAAATAACGTGCTCAACTTTTTGGCTCAGCTCTAGTACTCTCTTCGGTCCCAAGCTAATCAATTCACCCCTCGAAACATAGGAAAATCCACTAACTCCTCATTTTATCTGTCAAACTTTCATAGCGAATCAAAACAAACATTGCGTAGTACTAGAATTTTGACTAGAATGGGGTGCGTTTGTTTGTCATTATTTTTAGTACGTATTTGACAACCGAACTAGCGAGTCTGGCCATGATTTTGTCGGATGAGCTGGGGGATACCTCAATACCCCTAAAGAACCCAGCAGTCTTTGAAGCAGTTTTAAGCCTTTCATGGTAATTATCAACTGGAAAATTAAAAAAAAAATCAGCGATCAGTTTTTACCAGTTATTGCTTATCAAAATACCCGGACGTGTGAATTTTTGCTGCGTGTTGTTCTTCCACTGATTTATCAATTTTTAATTTAATGCTGTAATGCTTGTAAAGTGTCGCGAAGCTTTAAAATCAATGTTGAAAAGTGCAAAACAAAAACACGTGTGGGTTCTTTAAGGGTATTGAAGTAAATGCATATTCGTAATCTGCATTAAAAATGGAACCCAAACCCAAAATTTCATCAATTTTGGTACACTGGAACTATTTTAAATAAGTACGATTACGTTTACAAAAATCACCTTATTAGCGCCCCTCGGTGTCACTTTGTATGGGAGCGAGCTGTCAGTTTGTTAGTTTAGTGTCAAACAGTGAAGTTGTTATTTTGCTTTAAATCTTGATTTAAAAATCGAGATGAAAGTGTGTGGGTTCGAAAAAAATATTGCTGTGCTCAGAAAACGAAGCTCTTTCAGATGATGTATAAAAAACGATACCTTTTTCAAAATTAAAGAACCCAATTGTATGCAAGATGAGTGAGATTCAAAGCTCTTGACGGGTAGCATGAGGCTTGTGGGGCTCGAAGCAGACGGTTGCCAATATGAATGTTTCGTTCTATTCTGCAAAGTTTGAAGAAGCAAACAAAGATAAAAGTTTAGTTCATTTCGAGGAATCTATCGTCATTTGTTGCTAGACCGTCTAGCAGTATAGTTCGTTCGTTCGTTCGCTTCGCTATCGAGTTTTTTTGTAGTTAGTTTTATTGCTACGTTCGCGTCGTGAAAGTGCCTTCTTTCTCAAGTCTTATTGCACTTGCCAATAAACAAAGCATGGTACGCAAGCGTACTACTGCTCCTGCATCGGAGGGCCCTAGCAAGAAGGCCCAAACGGATCCCAGCGCTGCTTCGGATGACGCAGCAAATCGGCTGCTACAGAGCAACCAATTCTCGGTGCTCGGAGTAGAAAATGGCGGTGGTGTAATTGTTGTAATTGCGAAAAAGGAGCGGATTCCCCCGCTGTTTACCCCGATGAAGGACGTCGCCCAGCTTAGGGATGAGCTGGCAAAACGCAAATTGTTCCCGCGATTCATAATCTGTAGCGTTGGAACAAAGATCATGTGCTCCAGCCTACAGCAGTACAAGTCGGTCGGTGACCTGCTGAAGAACAGCACAGTGGAGTTTTACACTCACGATTTGCCTTCGATGAAACCATTGAAGGTTGTTTTACGAGGTCTGCCGTCGCACGAAGCGGCTACCGTAAAAGATGAGCTGGTGAGGCTCGGATTGACACCAGAGGCAGTCCACCCAATGAATCGACGGCCTATGCCCAATACCAACTATCGTGACCAACTGTTTCTGGTCCACCTCACGAAGGGCTCCACCACCCTTGCTGCGCTCAAGAGCAACATACGTGACCTGTTTCAGGTCATTATCGACTGGGAATACTACAAGCCGCAACACCGTGATGTGACCCAATGCACAAGTTGCCTCTCCTTCGGTCATGGCACGAAGAACTGTCATATGAAACCACGCTACGACAAGTGTGCTATGGCCCACTCGACGGCGACCTGTGCTCAAGCTGATGACACCGACCCGAAGTGCGTGAGTTGCGGCGGAACTCACCGTGCCACTACTCGGGACTGTCCCAAGCGAACGGAATTCATCACCATGAGGAAGAAGGTGGCTACTAGCAACCAGCCAGGCCGGCATCGAAATAAACGTCCACCACCAGCCATCACGGACGAACAATACCCGGAAATCCATCCTCGTCGTCTGGTCCCAAATCTTCCACCGCTACCTCTCAACAACAGTCAACGAGCCACCCCCTCAGCTCAGCATCGCTTCACTGCTGCTACAGCTCTGCCAAATCAAGCTTCTGCCTCGGCGCCTGGACTATCGTATGCCCGTGTTGCCTCAGGTGACTCAGTTGACGAATCTCCGTTAACATCAGAGGAACTAGTAACGCTGGTTGCAGAGGTGATCGTCATTCTGTGCACCTGCAAGACTCGATCTGAACAGCTTCATGCTGCCTTGGCACTCGTCACCAAGTATGGACCGTGAAGCTATAAAAATTGCAAATTGGAACGCTTGCTCACTGACGAACAAGCATAGAGAGCTACTCGATTTCCTCAACACCAAGGAGGTCGACATTGCTTTCATCACCGAGAAGCATCTGAAGCCCGAACTGAACGTATTCCTTCCCGACTTCCGGCTCGTCAGACTTGATCGCACCTGCTCTGGAGGTGGAGGAGTGGCCATCGCTGCAAGACGGAACATCAGTTGCCGGCTGCTACCAAACTTCCAGCTGAAAACAATTCAAGCCATCGGAGTGGAGGTGAGCACATCACTTGGCCCAATCACCATCATCGCGGCCTACTGCCCCAAGCAAACCAACATCAGGGGCGGGTCGTCAGTGGCCCTCCGGAAAGACATCATCAAACTCACCCGGAGGAGCGGGAACTTTATCATCGCTGGCGATCAGAACGCAAAACAACAAGCTTGGGGCAACAGTCGGAGCAATAGAAACGGCATCATCCTCAATGAAGACCTGCAAGAGGGCCACTATACCATCTTGGCCCCGGACTCTCCCACCCGGTTGAGTCGGTCTGGGGTCCATGCGACCATCGACATCTTCGTAAGCAACATGGGACACAACGTCTCGCAACCTGTGGCATTCCAGGAGCTGAGCTCGGACCACTACCCGGTGGTGGCCGAAGTTGGATCCTCGGTAAACCGATTCGAAGCTACCTGGCGCAACTACCATTGAGTCAACTGGGCGCAATATCAACACTGCGTCGACACAACCATCGACTACGATGTCCAACCGGGGACGTCCGAAGATGTTGACCGGTGTCTACAAACCATCGAGGAGGCGATTTCCCGGGCCAGGGAACAACACGTGCCAGTATCCAGACAGGTGAGTAACACTCTGAACCTTGACAGCCCTACCAAAGATCTCATTAGACTCCGTAACACCATTCGTAGGTAGTACCTAGGCCTGCCTAACTTGAAGACCAATTGTAATCGATTAACAAAGATCATTCAGGCCAGGATGGTGGATCTCAGAAATAACGATTTTTCTAGTAAGATCCGCTCTCTCCCAGATTGTGCTAAGCCGTTTTGGAAACTTACAAAAATTCTTAAAAAAAAGCCTAGGCCCATTCCACCACTGACCCCACTGGATCGTCCCGGCGACCCAGTGGTTCATCTGATAACTCCTGAAGAGAAGGCTGTCGCGATAGGTCAACACTTCGTCAGCTCCCATAATTTCGGAAAAAAAAACATCGTCGCCCTCATGAATCTGAGGTTGCTGAAAATGCAACCAATCTTCTTCAGATTCCTAACATTTTTCCAGAGGAATCCGAGATTACGGCTGACGAACTGATGGCCTATGGTTTCAACAACATCCTGAATCTGGAACTCAAACACTTGAGTTCCAGATTCTACAACCATCTGGCACTGATTTCTAGTGACTTCCCCTCGTGTTGGAAGTCAGCTAAAATCATACCCATCCGGAAACCTGGGAAGGATCCGTCCTCTCCTTCACGTTATCGACCAATCAGCCTTCTCTCAGGGTTATCATAACTGTTCGAAAGAGCACTGTACCCTCGTCTCCTAACATCTGCCGATGAAAACAACTTGTTACTCGAGGAACAGTTTGGTTTTCGGAAAGATCGTCCACCAGCTGACTCGAGTAACAAACATTCTCAGACGGAACAAGTCTGTTTCGAAAACATCTGCCATGGCGTTGTTGGACGTTGAAAAAGCGTTCGACAATGTCTGGCGTTCAAATTGCAGCAGTACGGTCTTCCAATCTTCCTAGTGAAGATCATAAACAACTATCTATCAAACAGGACGTTCCGAGTCTCTCTGAATGGCATCACATCGGATGCTTTCAACATCGGTGCGGGGGTTCCACAAAGAAGCATCCTTGGCCCCATCCTATTCAACCTGTTCACCTCCGATATGCCGGCTCTCCCTGATGGTGGATGGTTGTCTCTGTTCGCAGATGACACATCCATCGTCTACAAGGGTAGGGTCATCGGAGCTCTGACTGCCAAACTTCAGAAAGGCCTGGACGTCCTGTCTGAATATTTCAACAGCTGGAAGATCCGTAACAACGCGGCAAAGACCCAGGTCATTATCTTTCCACACTCTAAATCTCCTAGACTTGTTCCGTCGGAGAATAACAAGATCTTCCTGAACGGCACAGTGGTGGAATGGTCCAAAGAGGTCGTGTACCTCGGGCTAACACTAGACAGCAAGCTTCTTTTCAGAGAGCACGTTGAAAAACCAAAAACGAAGTGCAACATCTTGATAAGATCGTTGTATCCACTCATCAACAGGAAGTTAATCCTGTCCCTGAAAAATAAGCTTGCTGTCTACAAACAAATCATCCTTCCTGTAATCGAGTACGGTATGCCAATCTGGGAGAGTTGCGCAAAATGCCATCACCTTAAACTCCAAAGGATCCAGAACAAGATCCTTAGGATGGTCCTAAACAGTCCCCCGCAGACTAGAAATTCTGAGATCCACCTCCTGGCTGGAATTCAGACATTAGAAGAACGGAGAGTATTCATCCTGGAAAGGTTCAGAGACACCCGTCTGAGATCAAATCATCAGATCATACGTGATCTAGCACGTTAGGTTAAGTTATACTCGTAGTTAGGTAGGTTATCACTTTTTTCAATTCAAATAAAACACATCCCCAAAGGGATATCCTGTAAACTAGTTGAAAAACGCAAATATTAAATTAGAATATCAAATTAAACAAAGCTGAAGAGCCAAGTAGGCTAATCAATTAAAATGATAAATCAATGTACTACCATAATCAACAGAAATAAACATAATTTTACTACTAAAGAGGAATCTATCATTTGATGTTCACCCAAGCAACCATAGGCACGTTATTTCGCCTTTTTGGCTATATGCAGGCCTCATAAGAACATACAAACACTGATATAGTCCAGCTGTGCCTATGGTTACTTGGGCAGTTTATAGTCATGAGTACGTGCGTGCGTGCAAAGAATCATTACCAACATAGGAGAAAATTCGGTAAGATCCTTCCATTGGATTATTTTATGATTCTTAAATAATGTACAAATATTTACACATTACACACAACTACACATAGTAACTCGGAGCGTTTGGTACGGTATGTCCACGCATCCTTCCACCCCTGTAGATTCAAGAAATGTTCCCATTCATTTCCAAGAATCATCTTTGCGGCAAAAACAACGCAATAGGCCTGGCCGTATTGATGTTTATATCATATCTCAGATATGCTGTAAGCTGGGGGCAAGACAGCTATCGATCATGCGTAAAACCGAAGTTAATTTTGAGTAACTCTGAGTAACCTGATTGTTATATTGAAAATTACGTTGAAACCGATGCTGTCAAGCAAAGTTAGTTGACGTGCTTTCTTGGAATTTCTGTGTAGGGACTTTTGGGGTGGTTCGATAGGTTCGGATTAGGCTAAATTAATTCAATAAATTCAATTCTTAGAGCAATATAGTTTGTGGCACTGCTACCATCTCTCCTGTTAGCGTTGAATTCAATCTTCTGTAATTTTTTTAATTGGACCGCTAAAATGCCTAAAATGTTCTTTTTTTTTAATTTATTCAGTTTCTGATATTTATTCACCATTAAATACATCCAGTCAAACTTCACAATTGCTTGTTTTAATTCATTGCTAGAGGCAATACATCTGGCAACGATTTTTCAATGATACATTTACGATTGCTGGCAAAGCGCTAAAGTTGAAAAAGTGGTTTGCTTCCGCTGGCGAAGCTGGCCAGAGCTGACCTAATCTGGCCTAGAATCAGCAGCTAATATACCACAATCATCAGTCAAGGACCAATTCTATTGACCACGAACGAAGTTTCAAGCTCAGGTTCTACCTCAGCTAACCGAAAAGGAGCATTCCCCATTTGGAACGGGTCACTCCAGTCAATCCTGTATCGTCCTAGGCCGTGTCAATCCTCATCAACGCACTATGAGCAAAAATGGGTCCAAAATTACCCAAAATTCAATATCTAAACAGCACGCTGAATTCCGGCCATGAAAAATGACTTTTCCGAAGGGAAATTGTCCGGGGAATCGATTGCACGTGGTCCCATAGACCAGAGAGCCTTGTAGGTATGTGTTTTGGACCATTTTACCCCATTTTCATCTACGTTTTGGAGGAAATGTTTTTTCACAGCTCTATTTTTCGTAAAACATAAGCACTTTATGCATGGTTTTAGAATACCATGTCTTTAAACAACAGTTCATGGGATATTAGGGGAATACGGGGCACACTGTATAGGGGAGTAAGGGGTCAATGTGAAAATATAATCAATGTTTTTTAATACAAAATCAATTTTTTTAAATATCATAATATTTTTTTCTGAAAAAAAAAATTAATTAACTTTCATTTGGTATTTTGAGCTCCGCCTTCGGCCAAACAGTTCAAAAGTTATAAATTTTTGAAAATTATCGAAAAAAAATTTTTTTTTACCGCCCTAATATATAAATAGTCACCCTAATGACAAAATATAAAATATGGGTCTGATATGTTGCGATAAGGAACAAAACTACCAATTTTTACAAAATTCTGAGAACCACTATATCGTTTTGATGTATACAGACAAAAAAAGTGAAAACTCTTTTAAAACAGATAACAGTAAATTAAAACTTATTTAACCCCAATTAACCTTAAAAGTTCGAAAAAAAATCTTATTATTGCATGCAACCTTTGGGGTCATTCAAACAATAGCATCGTTCAACATTTTTATGAATTAAAATAAATTTAGCGAGGGTTCGCTTGTACCCCTTACTCCCCTATAAAGTGTACCCCGAATTCCCCTAATATCTCATGAACTGTTGTTTAAAGACATAGTATTCTAAAACCAGGCATAAAGTGCTTATGTTTTACGAAAAATAGAGCTGTGAAAAAACATTTCCTCCAAAAAGTAGGTGAAAATGGGGTAAAATGGTCCAAAACACATAATTACAAGGCTCTCTGGTCTATGGGACCACGTGCAATCGATCGGAATTCAGCGTGCTACTGAAATATTGAATTTTGGGTAATTTTGGACCCATTTTTGCCCATAGTGCAACGAGGGAAGGCGTCTGAAAGGCATCCAAGCCCCGTAAAACCGTCGTGCAGTCAAACCACCACAGTAGCATTTCGTTTGTCCACAATTCGATTTGTTAAAACAAGCGATTCGATCTGTCAAATGTGCTTCAAACGAAATATGCTCTTCTTTCCTTTATTTAACGTCGGTCTCTGTTCCGCAATCTAGTGCCAATCACCGACGGACATCGATTGCCATCCATTGACGACAATCGAATGTGCAAGAAGGCAGCTTCCACACCTGCGTAGGATATCGCACCCATTCACAACACACATGGGCCGGGACCAACGGATTTACTTCCCTTCCGAAGGAAGACGTGACCAGAGATTTTTATGCCTCAGAAAAATCCAACTAACCTCGGCTGGGATTGAACCCAGACCCATTGGGGCGTTAGAAAGCAGTCACGCTTACCACTACACCACCGGCTCCGGCTAACGAAATATGCTGTCATACGATATTTCTTTGATCAGAAAATCGAGACTACTTTGTTCATTTTTGAGGAACTAAATAAAGCTAAATAATAATAATAACATTTTTGAGGAAATATGAGTAACTCAAATTGTGCAGCTGTCTTGCCCCCAGGCTGTAAACATCAATTAGACAAGAGTTGGTTGGAAATGCTAACATGAAGCTTTAGTGTGATAATTTATTAGCTAGAGAATGATATTTTAGGAGAGGGTAGGTAGATAGTTCCGTTAGAGTACGGCAGTATGAAAATTGAATAGAAGTTGAAAATGAGCGAAGGGCCATTAATGCGACAGTATTTTAAAGATAGACGCACATCTTTTGCCTAACCCGTACGATGTACGCGGAGACTTGAAGTATGTCTCCAAGTCTACAGGCAAAAACATGAAAAAGAAAAAATGATTAGACCTCATCTAACCTAATCATTTTCCAGGATGCTTTCTCGTACTGGCTGCGTTTGTATTAGATTATATTAGATTAGATTATCGCATACCAAAATACCCCCACGAGATCTGGTTTAAACACATTCAATGCAAAAATGAAGGTCAAGGTATAGGATATGCACAAGGACATTCCGCGAGACCGATCGACTTACAGCCGATAAGCTGTAAGGAAAACCATCAATATCACCAAGCCGGATGGAAGCTTCCTCCGGATTACGAAAACCGTTAAGAGCCACGTACAATGCTTCCGGATCTGATCTGTTACGGCAAAATGACTACTAAACAGTCTAAATAATCCATCTGAGAGGCTCACTCAGAATCGAACTAAAACGGAACATTCAAATCAGCAGCAGGCCGCGGTTTTTTATTTGACAGATACAAATTTTATTGTGTAGAAATCTGTTTCGATCGAATTCGCAATAAATTACTCGTACAACTTCAAAATTTAAAATGGATCGTGAAGCGAAAAAATTGGAGCTCTATCTGTTGTTGTGTCAATCGGCAACGGCTTTGCTCGTTTCGTTGATAAACACGACTCGCAACAGCAGTCCCGAGATCCAGACTGCTATCAAAGGCCGAATGCTGCAGTTGGTGAAAACTTTGTGGGAATTCGTACGGGACTCGGCGGATGAACTGGAAGACCTCGAAAATACGCTGGAGCCCAGCCATGCAGCAACGGATCTGCACTCTGCTCCTCGGCGTATCTGGCATCCCAGCCCACCTCCTCAACCTCAGCCTCAGCCTCAGCCGACAACGGTGAGTTGTTTTGGGTGAACACATTACTCCAAACCCTTCTTTTGTAACGCGGTCTTAATTTCTTCAATTCAATGTAACCCCAATGATGGTTTGCTTTTTCAAACCAGCATTGGGGCTAAATTAAGCCTGTCTAGGTTGACAATCAATAAAATTAATACATTAGATGGATGAATCATTTTGCCCCGTGACCCATCTTGGCCCACCATACCCCACATTAAATTTAAATAAATTTTATCTTATTTCATTTTTCTATTGTAAAGACACCAGTTTCATCAAACTTGGTTTGAAATGCAAATCATAAAAAAAATGAAATTAAGACCGCCGTAAAAAAATTATTGCTTGTATACAATATCGTATCCATACATGTACCGTAGAATCCCGTTAGTTTGGATAGCGAAAATCACAATTACACGTCGCTCATTTAGATTTTGTTTAACTGGCACGCTTACAGAGGTGCCCAATGGCGTTAATCACCAGTGTGGGGTTACCAGTTAAACAAGTTCTATATGAGTGCCGTTTAATTGTGATTTTAGATGTTCAAACTACGGTGTACATATTTGGTATTTACAGTGACCGGTGGCAATTCCACTATTTGGAAAAACTTTTTCGCTGCCTCACCATTAAATGGCATTAGAATAGTGATGCATATCCTTATCAAATAATTCAATTATCATAACAAACCCATTAACTGACATTCATGGCTTCCATTTGCAGCCCACCGTCATTCCGCGCCTTCCGCACCATTCGACCTTCATCGACCAACGACCGGCAACCCGTTTCCCCGTGATTCAACGCCTTCTGCTGGTGCTGGCTCGCGTACCGAACGAGGAAATTTTCGCCCAAGCAGCACACCCATTCGCCGATGATCCCGCCTTCCGGCAGCGACTGCAGCATGAAATGTACCAACTCCGTAGGATGCTGGGCGAAGACGACCCATCGCTGCACTTTGGCGAACAAACGCTGCTGCACCGATTGGATCGAATGGAGACGAGCATGAGGCAAATAATGCAACAGTTGGACGCGTTGACTGCTTCACCGCAAGAGGGATGAAGCGTTTGCAGCGTTTGAATCTCTTTGGCGATGGTGCTGGCACGGTGCGGGGGTTATGTGAAGCATTAGCTCGATGGTTCGAGTAGAAGCTGACATGGTTGACGTCCGGGTTGATCAGTTTACGACTGAATTACAACAGGTGGTAATCAAGTTGAAAGAAGGAATAGACGCGTTCACATTGAAAACTGACCCGACTACAGAAGAGTGCCATAGTGTGATTCGAAATTATTTTCTCTGGTTGAATTAATAACTTCTGATGAAGAATAAAAACAAGCAATTACTTTAACGTCAATTAGTTTAACATCAAATCTTACTCAAACGAACGAAATCGTAGGAAAAAAAAAATCAAAATTTGATCGATCAAAGCAGCAATCAGAATTTCAACTGATTGTGAAATTCCTTGCGTTGACATTGGATCCGCAAAGTGACCTGCTTTTTCTGATTGACCAACCATGTGATTCACATACGTTGCTTGTGTCACCTACTAAACCTTCGCAACAAAAGTATTATCTGCTATAAGTGTATGGGAAGCATAGAAGGATACTTATTTACAGATTAAATTATTTAAATTTTTTGACTTGGTTGACATTCCTCAAATGAAAAAAAAAAAAAAGTAATCGAGAATCCATTTCGCATTAAAAGCATTCTCATGTTGTTGTGATTTGTCACGGAGGACATGCCGTAGGTACCATGCGAAGGGTATTCGTATGTGTTTATTCTCGTTACTAAAAGTTGCTCTGAACTCGCTCTTCGGAGATATGAGATCGGCATCCGTCGTATCCTTATAAATCATTTGATTCGGTTGCGGTAGGACTGCTCATACTGCGTGAGTAAGACTTTACTGACATGACTTTGATGGCTCGTGGGAGTTTGACGTCATTGTGTCTGTTCTTGGTTCGCAGCAGGTAGGCTAAACGAATCGAAATGGAGTCTGCATCCGGAATTGCGATTAACAGGATTAAGTTTTCTGGGGTTTGATCTGCGGGATGACTAAGATACAATAATGCTACACCGAGAGTTGTTGTTTCTCTTTGAATATAGGACTAAACGGAAAAGGGTGACAGACAGAACGCGTTTGCGTTATTTGTGAGTTTGAATTATTCGATTTTCGCAGCACAGTCAGCAATTCTTCTGCTATCTTGCTGTCTATGAGGTAACGGATGGACGTCTACAGCAGTTGAACAATAATCAAGAGCTAATACCACCTAGGTAGGTATCCAGTGAATGCTTGCAGATTTGAACGGTTTGAAGTAAAATAAAAGGTCCGAAAGGATTAGTGGCACAAACATTAAGGGGAATTATTTGGAATTCACAGCTCCTTTGAGCTTTCCAGTACAACATTGTTCTGTTTTTGGCAAAGTGCTTCTGCCAAAAGCGGAATAATTTTGAATTTCGAAATAGGCTGTTGAAATTGAATGTACTGCTGGTGGAAGCATAACTGGCTCATGTGAATAGGAAATCCTTTAGCACATGAGACAGTTATGCGTCTCCCGGCAGTGTATGCAATTGACAGAAGCCTAAATAATATTATAATAATTCGTATTCACCTAGCAGTGCCATTTTACCATTCGTTTGGATATATGTATATTTAATAATTTGTTGTCTGTTTTAAAGATAATTCTATTAGAGATATAACCAGTAACGCTGGTAGATCACCTTTTCGTGGTGCATTACTGCACAGTTCGAAAAAGTAGTGTAAATTTCTGTTCAATGTGATGCCCATAAATGGAGCGTCATATATCATATAAAACAGGATTTATCAGTAATCAAAGGAACACACTTCCCTAATAAACAAATATTTATTTGTTTATTTGTTTATTAGGGTTAGTCCTTGTTACTTTTTATATCAGGACTCGGGTAGGGACCGACTCTGTTTAGAATTTTTATATTGTACTAGCTGAGTGTGCCCGGTCTTGCTCGGGATTCAATATTAGCTTAAGTTTATGCACCGATTTAAAAAAAAAAGCATGCTATATTGTACGTAGCCCCCCCCCCTATTATCTAAGGGGCTACCCCCTATGATTATCTCCTTATACCCCCACACTCGCCCCACATGCCTAATTTGGTTCCATTTGCTTGATTAGTTCTCGAGTTATGCAGAAATTTCTGTTTCATTTGTATGGGAGCCCCCCTTACAGAAGGAGGAGGGGTCTCGAACCATCATAAGAACCTTTCACGGCCCCAAAACCCCCTGTATACAAATTTTCACGCCAATCTGTTCAGTAGTTTCCGAGTCTATAAGGGTCAGACAGACAGACAGACAGACAGACAGACAGACAGAAATTCATTTTTATAGGTATAGATATTGAATAAAAAAATATAGTTTATATCCATAGTCTATACGCATTCCTTTTCCCTGTGTCCTTCTCCTTTTCTTCTTGTTTTTTTAGAACGCTAGTAATTAGACCTGTGCGCCGCCGCACCACGCCGCCGCCGCTGACGATTTTCATGCACCGCCGACGCCGATGAAATTGAGCCGGCGCGCCGCCGCAGTAAAATGATTCACGCCGCCGAATAAATGTATGTCACGCCGATGAAAAATCCGTAACATCTTTTCGGTAAAATGCATCTTGAACGCGTTGAAATTAGAACTTGTGTGCACGATCGTTCGTGGCTGCTCAAAATTGATTGAAAATCCACTCACTTTAATTAAAACAAGATCTCTTCTAAATTGAGTAACATAGTAACATTGAGTGAAACAAATACCTAAGTTGATGAGTTCTTTCTACAAATTCCGATAAAATATAGGGAAATATCCCATATTGGGAAATGAGTCAAAATTACACAAATGGGCAAACATTTCGCTTCATTTCTTTTTTTTTAGGATTAAAAAAATCAAAATCTGAAAAACATTTTAATCAAGCATTGCATTTACAGCAAACAGAATACAAAAAAAAAAAACCTCTCAATTTGCGGTACGTTTTCACATCCACTGCTCCATTTTCGAATGATTTCTTTTGAAATTTTCAAATTTTCTGCTACGACGGAAAGAAAAACTGCTGGCTAAAAACTCAAAATTGAGATCCACCTTTATTTATTTATTGTTGAGTCAATGTTACTCATGATTTGACGTTTCAAAAGTAGTTATGAAAATGAGTCATAACAAAGGAGCGTGTATCAGGCAACGATTGTCATATAGTTTTTGACGTTTGTTTGCACTTTCTCTATCTATACGGAGAAAAAATACTACCCGAAATTTGAGTTCTTTTTACTTAATATTGAGTTCAGCCTCTCACTTGCACTCTTTATTGAAGTCAAAAAAGAAACGAGAGATTCAACCCAACGATGTAGTTCAGCCCAATAAGATACTTTTAAGTAAATTGCATATTCTCAAATTTACGTGAATTAAACTTAATTTTGGGTAGAATATAGTTACGAGTAGGTAGTGTTTTGTTGGTTTTAAATGGAAACTACTATATGCGATTTACTCAATTTTGGGCTATTGGGCTGAAACCCGGAGCAGAGGGAAAAGCACTTAATTTTGGGTAGTTTTTATCTCCGTGTAGCACACAGGGATGAATCCAAGGGGCTGCTAAGCCAGTATTTTATTGTTGTTTGCTTTTTTTCACTCACACACTTGCAACCAACGCAAAACAAACACGTGCGGTGTAAGCGACAGCTGTAAAATATGCAATACATCCAAGTTTGTTATGGGCCATAAATTTATCCAGCTTTTCAAGCTCGGTAATGGCGGCCTGATTGTATGAATCAATGTATCCTTCATTGTGCTATCTGGAGGTTCGGAATTTGACCCTCCCCTTTCCCTCTCCCAGGAACAGAAGAAAATGGAACAACATACGCCCTCCAGTCAGTGTTGAGATTTGTCATTGTCATTGACAGACTTTTGCACGATCTTGACAAAATTGTTTTTCACATAGTCAATGATAGAATTGATCCTCAAAAAAATCTTTGTCAAAATCTCATTCATTTTTTCGTCAATGACAAAGATTCACCTGGTAACAGAAAGTGTAATTTCTTGCATTCTGAGACACATTATTGTTATCCAAGCGGTTCAGGACGTAGATGCTTATTCACTTTAATTGCTCCATGTAATTGTTTTGCTCAAGTCATTTAATTTCATTTCAAATTTAGCTAATAAACAAATCAGCACATGTTCGTCACTGACAAAAATGGTACTGACAATTGACATGGTTTGCCTTGACGATGACTGTTAGCTCAAACGAGTGACCAAAGCAGAATTTTGAGTATCACCGTGTATTGTCGAAATTTTGCAGCACTGCCTCCAGTTAGTGTCACAAAGCATAGTGAAGGATACATTTATTTATACAAACAGGCCGCCATCACCGAGCATGGAAAGCTGGATAGACCAGTTAAGTGAGTACTGTCAAATTTGTGAAATCTCAATAGTGGAAACATTTGATGTCAGTCCCGTGGATGAATCATTATGTTTCCTCCTGCTCGCACTTGTTCGAGATAGTGTTTTGGTTACTCAAATTCGCGAAAACGTAGGTCAATCATAGAATGAGTAACTTTTCCGACGCTTTTCCGAGGACTTCTCAAATATGAGGAAAACTGTTTGTGGTTTTAGTCTGTCTACTAGTATACTTCTAACCTGTGTACAATTTTCTTAAATTTTCCCCATATTTGAGAAGTTTTCCCCGGGAAAGTGTCGGAAAATTGACTCATACTATGAGTGACCTACGTTTTAGTGATTTTGAGTAATCTGAACTGAAATGTGGGTATCATTTTTTGTTCATGTGCAATTGGTTTGAAAAGTATTTTTTCCTAAATCATTAAAAATAAACTCACGCCGACCAACGCCGCCACGCCACCGCCGCCGAAAGCAAACAGCGTGACGCCGCCACACCGCCGCCGCCGGCAGAAAACAACACATCACGCCGCCGCCGAAAATATTTTGATCGGCGCACAGGTCTACTAGTAATGGCTCTTTAACCCTAAGCTATTGAAGGCTAGGAAGGCTAGTGTTCATGTCCCAACCGTTAGAGAAAAATGGAGCATCACTTAACTTTTCTAGCCTA